TAACCAACAAAATAAGTCTAAAAAAATCTAACTTTTTGAAAGGAAAAAAAAAAAAGAATTATGAAATAATTTTTCCATAAAGTGTCACGTAAGAAACTCCATATTTTTACTTTTAGATTTATGTAAAATAATGATACCAAATGCTCAATTAATGACATCTTTGGTTTGGAAAATTTCGTTTTCATTTTGGAAAAAATAATAAAATACACATTTTTCATTCATGGGTAAAAAAGTATTTAACTCATTTAACATTTCATAAATTCAAAAAAATGAGAAAATCTCTTTGAATAATAATCTTGTGACAATGTCTCACGCAATTTATTGTATGTTTATTTTAATTAATAGATGGAAAGATGGAAATAGTATAATAAATATCAAGAATGAAGATGAAAAAGTTGGGGGTTAAACTTTTTAAAATTACCAAAACAATTCATTTTCTAAAAATTCCATTGTCGTTTATATATCAAATATTTTAAAGAATAAAAGATCTAAGAAAAAAGAAAGATAAGCTTCACATTTTCTAAATAATATAATTTTTACATACCTTTTTTAAATCTTTTACATTTTCTTCAACTCTTATTTCTTCATTTCTCACCAAGCGATTTCTATAAATTGAAAAATCTTGAAGTAGTCAAAATTTAACATGATTATCAATCACGTATAAATAGTTATTGTTAATGGAACGTAAATTTGAAAAAGATTTATCATATCCTGTGATTACAAAATATAAAAATTTAATTCGAATTTATATGATTCAATCGTAAACATAAGCATATCCTATGATAACAACAAATCCAACAATATTGAAAAAGAAATATGTAATAACAAATTACATTTTTTAATGAATATAATTTCTACATACCTTTTAAAATCTTTGAATTCTTTTTCAACTCTTACATTCTTCATCCCTCACTAAAAGAATTTATAGGATTTCATTTTGTTTATCATTGAAACTTTGAAAAACAAATTTCATTAAGAAATAAAAGAAAGTAAATGAAAGAGCAAATCAAGAGTTGGAGGTTATCCCGTGATTACAAAATATCAAAATTTTATTCGAATTTATATGATTCAATCGTAAACACAAGCATATCCTATGATAACAACAAATCCAATAATATTGAAAAGAAATATGTAATAACAAATCACATTTTTTAATGAATATCATTTCTGCATACCTTTTAAAATCTTTGAATTATTCTTCAACTATCACCTTCTTCATCCCTCACTAAAAGAATTTGTAGAATTTCATTTTGTTTATTATTGAAACTTTGAAAAACAAATTTCATTAAGAAATAAAAGAAAGTAAATGAAAGAGCAAATCAAGAGTTGGAGGTTAAACTTGGGTATACAAAATTACAAAAAACCCCGTTTAATTATGAACTATACATTCTTTATAAAGGGGTAAAAAAGTCTTTAATATATTCAACATTTAAAAAAATCAAAAAATTGAGAAAAAAGATAAGAGAAGTTCTAAACATTAGAAGGTGCCACCTCATTATGCTTGGTTTCTTCTTTAATATATATATATATATATATATATATATATATATATATAGATTATTAAACAGCGCGTAGTTCATCCTCAGGGGTAAATTAGTCATTTTTGTTATTCAGACTGTTGATTCAGATAGAAAAGTAAACAACAACATAAATTTATCCAGACAGACAAATTTATCCACACAGACAAATTTATCCATACAGGACTTAATAGAAAATTTGATAAACAGCCTCCAAGAGTCTTATGCGATAAGTGAGAGTGACGACTCTTACCACGGTAAGTGCTTACTTGGTAAATTGTTACATACGATACCGTTTTGGTGGACTAAAATCTTACCTGGTAAATAAATGATAACGTTAAATTTTACTGGCAAATGTTTACCGGGTAGGTGTTTGTTTGAACTCTTATATATATGTGTGTGTGTGTGTGTGTGCATGCACGTGTGTGTAGGCGAAGATTGTATGAGAAGAAGAGTTAAAGTGAGAAGGTAAGAGATTTGGACCCTTGATCGCTTTTAATATCACCACCACTCATGAATTGCGCTTCTCACGGGAATTGATCCGCTGCATATCGATGCATTTCATCTCCTTGCATCTCAAAATGAAGTGTATCCAGTGGTGAAGATCTCTACTTACCTTTCTAACCATAACTTTCATCTTCACCGGAATCCAACCCTGTATATTATATACATATATATGAATCTTCTTTCGAAAACTCATGAATAACCTTGAAACTAGTGCATCATATGATGTTTTTTCATATAATACTAGAATTTAGTATACCAATTATTTTACAATGTGTTTGTTTCACATGTATTTGTTTCACAACGTGAACCAACCTTTCTAACATGTTTGTAAAACAAAAGTTACATATAAAAGTGTTTCACCTTGTAAACCGTATACATATGAAACAAACTCATTGTAAACCAAATATATATTCATCAATACATTAAATGCTAGTCATAGATGATTAAAAAAATCATATAAAATAATAATTCTCATATATCAATATGAAATAATACATTAAAACTTATCTTTTACATTTATAATATATAATTTGATATAATTCTGATATAAAATAAAATATAAATTTGAATTATTAATGATTGATATAAAAATGGTAAGAAAAAATAAAGATGAAAATTATTGTGACAAGGAAGGCATCAGACATCGGGTGTGTGTTCTCTCCAATGGTATACAGATGTGTGGCCAATAACAGAGCTGCAGTAGCACAGATCTAGAAACCATAACACTTCAATACCACCAATTTTTTTTACTTATTTATCAAATCACATGTAATTTTATACATGATATTAATATAAAATCAACTGTGATTCGGTTGTTTTCTTATTTCCTTAAATACACCACAGACTCCATATATATATATATATATATATATATATATATATATGTAAAGAAAAGGAGTTTTGGGAGGGGTTATGTTATATTTATGGTAGGGTTGTGGGATTTCATTTGGATGATAAGACTCCAAGTTTGACCACTTTCCAATCACACCAGCTGTATCTATGATTAAACAGAGTACACCCCCTGCTCTGCCATTTCCTTAAAAACAACCCTTTCAATAATTACCCATCTTCCCTTTTTTAACCATCATCATAAATACATTCATACCATTACCATACTTTTATTAATAATTATAATCTATTTTATAAAACCCTTTTGGACCATTAATTATTGTGAATTCATGTAATATCTTTTTTTAATGATTGTACAAATTCAAGATATCAAAGGACAATTCGTTTTAGCACGTCGCTAACTTATTCATTCTATCTATGATTAAAAAACAGAGTACATCACGTCTCTCTGCAATTTCTTGGAAAAACAGTACTTTCAATAATTACCCATCGTACCTCTCTCTTTTGCTTCCTATCACCAAACACATACGTTTCAATCTAATTAACAAATCCCGTTTTGTAACATGATGTTACTCATATATATATATATATATATATGTATTTTTTGTGTTTAGGGTTTTAAAAGAAAGAACGTATAATCAATAATGATGTTAGGTTGTTTAGTGACGAAGAAATGGTTACATTGAAATATGGAAAAAGGGGGAACAAAGGCCATGGGAATGTATCATGGACTTCACGAGCTTCCCATGCAAGAATTGCAGAGGGGTCATGCTACAAGGAATCTACTACTATTAATTGGACACCACTTTTTTACTTTTTTGTTACATTAAAATCTTATCGTATTGTTTACGACTTATATATTTATATGTATTCGTGTATGGAAAACGATACAGTTTTGATCAAGTGTTTACACATGTACAGTTGACATATGACGTCAGCATGTGACCTTAATTGTACATCTCCATATTAAAAACGTAATGTATTGTTATAATGTCTTCTAAATGAACTCGTGACAGTAAAAGATGGTTAGAGATCACTTTATCGTCGTTTGTAAAATATACATATAAATAGTTTCATGAGTTAATTATGTTTTCCGAACCCCTGTTGTTTGTTAAAGCTGCAATTTTTGTCCCTATGATACAGAAAATTTTGATTTTCATCGCTATGGTTTGTAATTCATTGTTATCTTCATTCGTGGTTGTTTCAGTTCCTATGGTTTACAGTTATTTGCTATTTTGATCCCTTGTGCTTTAAAGGTAAAAATTAGTTTAGGGACGGAAATATCAATATATTGAAAGCCATAGGAACGAAAATAGCAATAAATTTGAAACCATATGGATGAAAATAACAATTTCTAAACTATAGGGATGAAAATAAAAATTATTAACAAAACACAGGGACTAAAATCGTGATGTAGTGTAATTTCATAGTGTGTATTGCATATGTTGCGAAAAGAACCTGGTAACACATTTATCTAGTTTATGGTTTTCTTTCATCATTTTTGTGTATCTTTGTAAACGGTTGGCTTAATTAATAACAACCAAAATCATGAAAACATTTTTGATGTCGGATTTTGCGGAGAAAGTTTGGTCAAATTGTTGTAGGTTTGTCTATCATGAGGTCCCGCTTGTAATAATCTTTCTGTACATATCTTCTGGTATTTTTGACTTTTGGAATCAAGCTCAGAACGTCAGTAATTTTATAAAAAAGACAGGATATGTACGTAGATGTGAATATTGTTTATATATTATTATGTACCATTTATTTAAGCAGATAAATGTGAAATATATATAATTAAATATAAAATTGATGTTGGGATGAGAAGAAACATTAAATGGTTGTCATATCAAACTGCATCCTTACATACCATTACCATGTGGTTTCTACATACTTAAAAAGGTTTCATTCTATTTGGGCCCCAACGCATCACATTTTCTTTACCATTCATTCCATTTCCGATAATAATGTAATTCATTATATTTATATATATATATATATATTATTCAACATCAAAATATTCATTTATATATATTATATATATATATTTGCATATGTGCAAATTCCGTTACACCGATACAAAATTGGAAGAGTCGTGTAAGACACCTACCGATGGTTTGCAAGGGAATTGCTACGTAGCGCATTTCCTATCGACATAGCTACTAAATGAGCGACGAGATTGGGGAAACGAGAGTCATGGATGTCGCCTTATTACGAGACAGTGACAAACCTAAATAGTAGTATTCAAGAGTAAACAATAAAACACGGAGATTAACAAGCTTAAGAAAGGGGCGACCGTTGCGGGGCCCCCTTTCTTCTGCTTCCAAAGGAAAAGAATTTAGGAAGAAAGTCGTTGCGTTTCTTCTTCGTTCGCTCGACCTCCGGTTTATACGAGATTCTCGAGATTCCCATGCCGGAATCGGAGCCTGACGAGTCTTTAAACTGCATGGAGTCGTCAAGGACGGAGTCGGAAGTGATGTGGCCATCGTCATCCATTTGAAGTCCTTCGAATTGTGAAAAGGCGAAATCAGTCGCATCAAACCTACATAAAACAGTCGACAAGTCTTCCTCTTGGTATACCATGTGATCAACCTGCAACACCTCTTTCTGTCAGGTCCCATAAACCCATGGACAACACTTAAAATGCTATGTTTCACAAACTTGTTCATAAATTAATTGTTATTAGATGATGATGTAAAATGACTCAAAAGTATAAATGGCAAGTGGGTAATTGAAACGCTACTTAAAATGAAAGATGATTAGACCTTGCAAGAAAGGGAACAGAAGTGGAAGGGCTCCTGTAGGATTCTGTCACAGGTGAAGCACGAATTAGCAGGGCCTTTACAAGACCTGGTCTGTGCCCTCTGGTTCAAGAATATGACTTTTGCACTGTTGATTGTATATGGCTGCAAATAATTAAAAGGAGATTATATATATATATATATATAAACAACTGTATCTATATATCTATGTATCTTTTGGGTAAGGGACCATACCCTTGTGTTAAAAGGGTTGGCTTTGTAAAAGGGTTGGATTTGAGAAGTAGTAGGTACAATATTCGTTCACAGTTCACAAGAGAAATTAGTAAAGAATTAAGGGTTAGAGTTTACCTGAACAAAAGAACAGTCAATGAGCTTCTCGAGGTCGTCCAATCGAACAACATCCTGGTAAACATATCTTCTCACCTATCACATGAAGCCCGTTAAATAACACACCCACTTGTCCCCTCATCCGTACGACTCATCACCTACCCTACCACCCACCATATTCATATTCATATTCATTATTATGCATGCTTGCTTGCTTCTTTCAAAGCCATTTATTTGTTTGCATAGAATATGTGATATTATTATTAATGGAAAGAAAGAAAAAAGAAAATAACAAGTTTGAAAAAGTGAGATGTTGTGAAAGAGATGGGTCTGATATGAAAAAACAAAATTGACCAGAATAGAGGGAGTATTTGGTCAAACTTCTACTTTCTTTGAAAGCAACAGCTGAGAGAACCTCTGCAGGTGAAAGCAATGCCTATTTTGTATACACATTTTGTCTATATCGTCATAAATTTATATAACTACTACAAAACCATATCTTTTTTTCTTTTTCTTTTCCTAAACCAATCTCAATCTCAATCTAATTACCAATTCATATTTAACCACTAATCTTGTCCTTCATATTCCTATCATTTCAGCTTCTTACTCAAATATTATAGCTTTTTTTCTTCTTCCTAATTTGGGATAATTGATCAAAAAACAATCATTTTACCAGAAATTGGAAAAAATATAACTAACCCCGTTTCTTGGTTTTCTTTAAATTCCATGCTTGATTAATTAACAAAAACAAGAAACTTTATTGCAAAAAACAATTAAATCCCATTTGTTCCTTCTATTCTCATACAAACACTTAGATTTGGAAAGAAAGAATGAAGCTATAATGACTTGATTGATTCAAGAATCTCAAATTGAGCTACATATATAAGTACCATATCTTAGATGAAACTTGGCATCATGTTTATTAAAGAAAAATAGGAAATTGATATTGGAAAGACTGTTGGGTAATTAAAAGAACTATTAAGTGGAGTGAGTACCTGAAGGAGGGGATGAGAGTGATGAGTAGGGAGGCAGTGAGGGCAAAAGCTTTGACAGCAATCCAAGCAGTATATGTTCTTCTCATTCTTCCTTTTATTCTCATGGACCCCACATATCCCAAAGAAACTCTCCCCCATTAATCCTTCCAACCATGCAGGCAGCTTCATCACCATTCTCTATCTTTCTATCTCTGTTTACACTTGTTAATATATATATATATATATATATAAGCTAGGGGAGTAGAGGATGGGATAGATGATGATGCATGTCCAGAGAAAGGTCCATGTAGATGAGTGTAGGGGATAAAACCTCCAAATAATAACGCAACACATATGTCTATTTATACTCGAGGTTCAAGAAAAAGGTTCATGTCGTTTTCAATACGTTTTATATATTTTCATTTACCCCCCTTCTTCTTTCTATCTTTCAAGATTTTCCCACATAACTCTAATTAATCAAATATATACTCCCTTCTTCTATCAAATTTCACAAAACGTTGTATTTACAAATACATCATCTCCTTGTAAGATGGGTCTTTTAAATGTAAAAATAAGTAGAATAATATAAATGTTTATAACTTGTAAATGCATGGATTTTTACAAGATCAATTTAATTATAATTGTGTTACCATTCAAAACGTAAAATAAAATCGTTGCAAAAAGTAATTCATTATTTTTCCATTCTAATAATTTTACTAGAATGTGATGCAGTTTTCTTAGCATCATCTAAAGATGGCAAACGTAACCGGTTCTTCGAAACCGGTTAAGGTTAACCAAAACTAGGCCGGTCTATAACATGTTATGAAAATACGAAGGGACCAATCAGGCAGGATATGCAATCAGGCAGGCCCAACCCAAATGAAAATCCAAATTGGTCCTCCACCCAAGCACCAGGCCTTGTGTAAACTTTGTGTAAATGGTTACAAGAACCCAGTGGGGGGATTGGAATGGTTTTCAAGTATTTTATGACTTTTAAACAATTTATATTAGTTTTCGAAGTTTATGTTTTTATTTAAATTTATATTTATAATCAAATAAATCTTATTTTTCATATAACTTTTATTTAATTTATGTTATATGTAAACCAAAAAAAAAAGATCAGGCCCAGTTATAACAGGGTAGCACTGGTTATGTGACCAGTTACTACCGGTTATCGAATTTTTACCTAGCAACCATTAACACAAGGACACATTTAACATGATGTATGCATTAAGCTAACAAGTGTTATTACATTATAGACAACCATGACAGGAAATTTATCATCGTTATAAGAACTAAAAACAATGGTTACATTACAATAATTTGTGATATAAAATCAACAAAAGAGATGAAAAGAAGGATATACTTTAAAGATCCAAAAAAAAAGCCTCACATGAACGTGACTAAGGTGTGTCACTCCGACAATCAAACATTGAGATGATAACATAACAGGAACACATGCTAAAATAAGTGTTTTTTAGGTTATCATAAGCACAAGCAGGCAATTACTTCGTATGCATTTGACTTGATGTTGAATTATTTGAAAGAATATAGAGCAGTTTGCGCAACTTACTTCGGTTCTGTTCATGGCATCTCCTTCATATGCTGCTTTGCTTTTCCCATTCCTTCTTCAGCTATACCATGTTTTGTCTGTGTTCTTGGTCTGACTTCCTGATTCTTCTTCAGCCATTTGTTTCAACCATTCTTCTTCTTCAGCCATCTGTTTCAACCAATTCTTCTTGTTTTTCATCATAAGTATGCATTCGAAGCATCATTGCCATAACCTTTGCCCTTATAAGTAGAATCAAACTCTTTACCCTTTAACTACATACGTAATTTTGCTTCCTCTTAACCACAAGGGTGGTGCCTAATTGGTTTGAGCTTGGCTCCAAAAGTCAAAAGTACCAGGAGGTCCCAAGTTCAAATCCAAGGAGGAATAAAAATCCCCTTGTGGTCACGGAGGTTCAAATGCGGTGACTCCGGTCTATCTGCAAAGCAGGTGGTCGCCCTGGGATTAGTCGGCTCGCATAGCGGGTTGGATATCCAGGTTAATCAAAAAAAATTGCTTCCTCTTCTAAATCCTTCCAAGTGAAATAGACCTAGCAGAAATGCCAAAGGAGATATCAATTTACAGAACCATATAAAAAATATGGGCCTCTATCAGATGTTATAAACATAATCATCAAAAAGCCAAGGGCTTTGAGACAATCTTAGAGATTTGGAGCTTGAATTGAACTCGCAAGAAGGTCTAAAACCTCTGTTCCTTTCCACATCTGGCTGTGATCGTAACTTTTGTGCTTGTGATAATAGATCGGGATTGAAATAATTTGTGAGGTTTATTCCTCGAAATACATATATCCAAAACTTTTAATTCATCTTGATTGGGTATACTTTGTATATTCTGCATCCTATTGAGATAAGGGCTAATTTTTATGGACCATGAATTGAGGTAAGAAGTCTAGACCTGTCACGGTTGATGAAAGTGGGTTTCCAATTTCCATGATCATACTTAAGATTGCAGTATTTTCTTCATAACCAAATGATGTCATAATCTAAAAAATAAGGGGCTTGGGAGCAGGTGGGTAGTTAGATAGTCCAGCCATCCCCAATACAGACCTTTGGATGCACAATTGCAAGAGACTTGTACCAAGAGGTCTTTAGGAGATATGGTGGTTGGAAGATTTGCATGGACAAGTTGGGGTGGAATATACAAAAAAGTTGCTCTTGGATAGGTATTTAAGGTTGTGCAACAGCTGGCTGGGCCATTTAGCTGTGCACAACACACACACATGCGTGTGTATATAAGGTCTAGAAATTGTAACTTCTATTATTTTGAGAGCAAAAGACGACATCAACATGAATTACTCAATGACAACAAACTTAAGACATACATGTATAGCATTGAAACTTGTAAGTTGTAACTTACACTCAATTAGGAATACACTTCCTCGTTCATCTCTATTAACTTGAAGAAGTTTTCAAGAAAGTAATTTGCATACTAAAACAGGATCCGAAGTACTGTAGCAACTAAAGATGGATGAGATATCACTTCATGAAGAATGGCACCCAACCTAAAATAGTAACCATATCGATCATAGCAAAAATTCCAAAATCATATCATTCTTCAGCAAAAATGCTTGGTTGTTTCTATTGTAAAATTTCTCATTGTCGATGCAGCACGATCATAATCATTGGCTAGACAGAGCCAGGTTAAACCACATAGATAGCAAACTCTGTATTCTTGTTCTTGTTTATTTGCAAAGGTGCAAGAATATGGGATTATAAAACATGTAATGGTAGAATGTATGACCCGTATCTGTCCACACAATAGTTCTCTACATGTGTAGTCATCAGAAGCCAACAATTATCTTTAGGAGCATAATTACGGTATCAACCAAATTTAGGAGGATCCCTCTAAAATGCTCCATTGCATAAATGCTTAATGCCAGGGGAAGAACCAGGAATTGAGGGGTGTGGCATTACTTTCATAAGCTAAAATGACTACAAGCAATCTTTTAAGAGGTCTTGGTTCATATAAACAAAACCATGTCATAAGCATTTACATGACAATTTTTTATTTCCAATTTCAAACTAAAACAATCATATTTGGTTTTAAGAACACCATAATAGAAGGAAAGATTGACGGTAAGTAAGCAATTAACTTCAGTTTCAATTTTAGACTAATCAGACAAAAAAAAGTCTAGTTTGTGCAATAAAAGTTTTGCTGCATCACTGCCTTGACCTAGGTGAACCCTATTGATCATTCAACTATTCAAGGTGCTTAGCAGCACTGAAGTGGGCAAACAGACGAATGGAATACACCATGTACACTAGACACATAATTCCTACTATTTTCTTGCCCTCATGAAAATTTATCTGCAGATTACTCTTGCTTTTAAGGGTAAGTTGGTTGATAGATAATGCAAACGGGCTGTAAATGGAATTAGTTTGTTTATCGTAAATCAAATGGGTAATTCGTGTACGGAATTAACAATGTCAATAAAACATAGCCAAACAAGAGCATATTAGGGTTCGATAAAGTGGTAATTGACCTATATTCATATTTAAATTGATACAATAATAATTAATCGAGAATGAAGCGTAGAAGTTACACACCGGACTGAAACCAAGACCTTGATGAAGTCCATGCTTTAATTGGGTGGAAGCGAATCTTGCTAAAATAACTTAACAAGTTGAGGATTAGGGTTTTGAAATAGTAACATTAACGTCGATGACAAGAGATGCTAGTGGAAAGAGAGAACCAAGGCTCTTACAACCACTAGAGTGCAATTCCGTTACCGCCATAGAGGGTCCGACGGCCATCTGACTCCGCCGGGACTACAGGTGACGGCACGGCTTGACGAGGCGGCCCGCGCGGTAACTGGTGGTGGCATTGCAGCAACGCCCGGTAAAACTATTTAAAAGAAAACCTAGAATTGCTTAATGGTTAATAATTAACTAATCAGACTCTCAAAATGAAATTAACTGATGTAATTGTTCAAAATGAAATTAAAATACTTAAGAAGTCAAAGAATCTCAAGATATAAGATCATTAAAAAGGTTTTAAAATTATTAAAAGACATATTTTTTTTTTCGTCAAACAAAATTTACCTTTTAATGATTCAGAGATTTTCATTTAATGAAACTATTAAAAAGTAAACAAACAATTTCTAAACACCGGTACTACATGTTATAATTTTAAAAGTTTGATATTTTTATTTCTTTTAATATTAACATTGTTGGTGATTTTAGTGTCATCAGGTTATTTAAGTGTAATTAGAAGTAATATCGACTTCTAAGAAGGTTTTATATTGTGTTCTAATACAAGTCAGGAGGTACAGAATGCATACTTGTCATAAGACGAGTATGACCCTGTTGGGCGGTTAAGGAGCAGCACCTCTTGCATCGTGGTGGAAAAATAATCATAAGGACCAGATGGGCTCTGCTTGCATCTGGTTGTTAAAAACGACCTTGAGTCTAGTTGTTAAGGACCAAAGGCTCTGGTTGGTAAGACCAAATGCAAGGAACGTTCTAGTCTGCCTTGCATTTGGTTGTTAAGGACCAGAGACTCTGGTTCCTTGTCTCTGGTTGTTAAGGATTTGAGGCTTTGGTTCTTTGCTTATGATTGCTAAGACTTACCTCTAGGTTGGTAAGCCCAGAGGGGCTCTAGTTCGTCTTATCTCTGGATTCATGTC